ATCCTTTGAGAAGTTCTTTGTCGATGAGCTGGGAAACTATGTTGGGTTCTTTAGCGGCTGACTGTAAGTTTCTTGCTACGAAAGTCACTGTGGGAGATGGGAGGACCCCTACCCTGAAGCCTTGGAAGAGCCCTGACGGGAGATAGTCAACAGACACGGAATCTGTAGATAGCGCAGCTGCTAGCTGAGGGATGTTAATGGGAGTGGAGGGGTGATATTCCAGAATGTTTTTAGTTATTTATTTATTTGTTGATGTTTCTGGCGCAGAGCCACTGTGACGGCCCGTCCACACGGTGGCGTGCGTTACAGCTTCCAAACGCTTCTGCCCATTCATTTTGAATGGGGTGACGTTACTTTTAGTAGAACTGTATTTTGGGAAGCGACGTGGAGCGTTTGCTGGCGTTGCTCGCTTCAAAAAGTTGAGCAATGTTCAACTTTTGGCGCCTCGGCAGAAGCGTCAGCCAATGAAATCCCGTTTATGCAAATCTGCCGGTACAAGCGCTAGCCAATCAGACCGCGTGTATGTTGGGAGAGACTACGCAGGTAATTCCTCATATTCCAAAAATGTGAGGGAAAATTCATTATGGCGGTAGTGAATCACCCGGTGCTGTATGATCAGTCTCTGTTCATCTACCGGGATACAAACCAGAGGAGCGAGGCATGGAGGGAGGAGGCAGAGACAGTGGGTGAAACTGGTAGGTTTTCGCCTGTTGGGGATTTTTTATTTTTTTTTCCCCCAGTTTACTTAGTTTTAACATTGCTATTGCTTTGTGTGTCGGGGGCAAGAGATTCATGTGATTGGTTGTTGTTGCTGCTGTGCGGACCAGTAGCGTAGCAGAAATTTACTTTAGGGTGGGCCTGTAAAAATATAGGGTGGGCCAGATTTTTCTTCTGCGCATCGGAAACTAACCACGATCCCGCCGGTACCGGTGGCAGATTACTTTTAGAATACTTCCTTTCCTCTTCTTCCTCCCTCCTCTTCTTTTTATCTTTTCTTTTCCTCTTCTTTCTATCTTTTCCTCTTCTTTTTTCTTTCTCTTTAGAATACTTTCTTTTCCATAACAGATGGGTATGTTTTGGTGAACGGGAGACACGTATTTTACTGTTTTAATGGCTTATGAAGAGCACGAACACAACATTTTAGTGTCATTCTTGACAGCTCTCTCATCTGCACCGCACATAAAAAGAAAAACTCACCCAGACTGCATTCTTTGTACGGTCTTAAAACCTTTCCTTGGAAAAGTTTATGCATTGTAAGGTGTCCTTGGGTGCTTTGAAAGGCGCCCCTAAATAGAATACGTTATCATTATTATTTATTATCTGAAACGATGTGATCACTTTTAAAACTTTTCCCAGTTACTTGCCCATGCATTCGGCAGCAGCAGGCCATTCAGTTAGATTTGATCCCGTTATGAATGTCATCATTTCGACAATAAATAAATGCTACATAAACGTTATCTTCCACGTTTTATCTAAACATCTCCGTTTCTACCTTCCAATATGTTTTGAAAGAGAGAGAGATCTCTCTCTCTCTCTCATCTGCGTGCGGGGCGGGGCCTCACGGACACGCTGCATCTCTCGCTCGCAGATACGCTGCAGCGCTGTGCACACGGTTCTGCCGGTAATGAATATTACATTGTGAGGAAACTTTCCACCAATAATTCCAATAAGTATTCACTTCAGGTTTACGAAAGTAACTGCACTCAGTTTACTCGTTTTTCAAATGTAACGCCAGCTGAATATACTGATTTTTTTTTTTTTTCTTTCTTTTTCTTCCGATTACGTAACACCGTTACATGTATTCCGTTACAACCCAACCCTGTGTAAGGGTCGAGTGCAAACGTTTTCGTTAAAACTAGTACCTGAGTGCAACGGAAGTTGAAGCTCCTGTGGCGGAGTCTTCCAGAGCCTGGAGGCGAGCATCGATAGCTATCATGGAGCTAGCCAGGGATTGCAGGCCGCGCTACTCTCCATAGGGGTGTGTGACGCTCCCGGACTGGCGAGCCTGAGAAGGGGTGGATTTTTTGGAGGGGGACGGGATCCTGGAGGGCTCGACTTCCTGCCCTTTTTTACCTCCGCGGCTGCGGCCTCGTCCTGCTCTCTGGGAAGCTGGCTGGAGCTGCTGCCCCGGACTGGGGAGCTACGCTGGAGACCTGGTCCGAGAGCTATCGCCGCTGAGAGAGAGTGAGGCCTGGGGCTGTGGGAAAGCCCTGCTGCAGGAGCCGAGCGATGAGGAAGTCTTCCTCTGTTGATAAGCCGCTGTGGGGAGCCGAACCGGGATCGGAGACTTCCAGAGAAGGTTCGTGTTCCGAATTGTCCGAGTTGGACATCTTGAGCTAGTTGTTTCTTACGGTTTTTCTCACGAGAAGCAGTATTGTATTGCAACTACCATTGCGTGTGATCATCTGCAATGACAACTGACAGGGAGGAAGAGCAGGTATTTAAGGCATTTAGCATGTGCAGCGATTGGCTGCTGAGGCGTGACGCCCTCATATTTAATGAGGGGGGAAGGGAGCCATAGAGTGACGTGTGAGTGACTCGAGTTAGGTCTTCCTTATTGAACTTGCGCTAAAGCTTTCATAAAGTAATGGGATAATGAGAAAACTATCTAGTTCTGTTTAGCATTTAGTTAGGTTGCAATTCAGCATCTGGTTAGACGAGTTGTTATTTCTTCTTTTCAAAGCTCCATAGTCTAATTGTTGTTAAGAAAGTCAGTGGTTGTTGGAACACTAGATCTAATAAATCAGAGCTGTGGTCAGCTCATAGAAAGCCCTTCTGTTAGAAATGTTTACTATAAAACTTTACATGATGCACACATACTCCACTGGTCATTGTGTTAGTAAAACAGAATGATTGTGTTATCAAATTATTCAATATAGTAATTTGTATATTTGTGTATTTTGTAGATGATTAAAGCTCAGGTGCCAAAGTTCTATATGTTTTGTTTTCACTTGAGAGCAGTAGAGGAGCAGGTCAGTGTCTCTGTCCTCTGGTGTTAAATGCTGTAATGAGCAGGAAATCAAAAAGGGTCTGACTGTTAAAGTTAGGTTTTTACTTGTTCCGTGTGAATACATTAGAGCTCTGAAATAAAGTACAAAAATGTCAAAGGAAATGTCATCAACATTAATTTAGCCTAAGTTGGGAAGTCACTCTGGTATTGTTGTGGCTCAAACGAAAATGTTTTCACATTATGTAATAACACAACATGCATGTAATCTTCATTATGAAAGTACAAATGTAATATTCAAAGAATTAGCAAAACAGTGAACAGGAAAAACAGGGACATTTTTCATTCCACAGATGCTGTATTTCACCTGTTTGTTTGTGTTGCTTCAAACTATTACAACATGTGTCCATGTATTTTCCAGTCTCTGTGTATCAGATAAATGTGGGAACAGCACAGGTGGAACAACAGTTCCAGACAACCGTACACTACACATCTAACATGTGAGTCGTGATGAATACTAACCTCAACTTTGATCAAATAACTCAATATTAAAAATGAAATCACACTGTTAATAGACAGACGAAGATAAAAAACATTTTTTTAAATACCGTCTCACTGAGGCTCTGTGAAAGATATAGTACAATAAAGCAGAAATGGTTTGAAATGAAAAGTATTTATCTTCTTTTTAACTTTAAGTTCACATGAACAGGGACGAAACTCCTTTTTTGAGCACATTTTATTTATTAAATGAGGAAAGTCGACGGGATCTCAAAGACAATCTCAATGTTTTAACTCTCATCAAAGATGCATAGTGTAGTTTTAAAGACGATTTTGTAAAAAAAAAAGTAAATAATTGTTGGACAGCTAGATCTTATAAATCAGAGCGGTGACCTAAGTGTCGTAGAAAGGCCTTGTGAAAAGGGTGTAAATGTGTTTTACTCTCTCTGTATGTCGGAGCTCCGTAATTTTTGTGCAAATGTCATTTCATCAACATTCCTTTAGCCTAAGTTGAGAAGTCACTCTAGTAATGTGGTGTCCTAAATAAAATGTTTTAAAATGATGATATCAATTAATTATTCATGTGCATGTTCATTGTGCAAGTACAAAGGTAATATTCAAATAATTAGCGAAACAGTGAACAGTAACAACATGGATACTTTTTATTATACACATTTATCACCTGCTTGTTCCTGTTGATATTTTAAAGTGTTTGTTGCCATGTCTTTTGTCCAAATCAGTCTCAGTGTATTAGATAAATATGGGAACAGCACAGGTGTAACAGCTGTTGAAGTCCCATCAGTACCTAATGTATCTAGCATGTGGAATATCTTTAATGAACACACATCAAGATTTATGACACACTCACTGATGAAAATGAAATAACACTGTTGTGATTGAGAGACAGACATATTAACACACTTTAAATATAGTCTCACTGAGGCCCTGTGGAGAGTAATGTGCAATGCAGGATCAATTATTTTAACAAAAGTGTTCATCATTTCTCACATGCACAGCAAAGTAACACATTTGTAGAGAAATCTCTAACAGAACATTCAGAAAGGAGGATTTCAAAGTGTGGACCTACTTTTGAACATTTCTTTAGGGTAATGTGCTGTTTAGTCTTTTTCTTTGCATGAAAATGCTTATTTCAACACACTTCGACAGACTGTTATAACTTACCATCAACATTCCCTGCAGATAGTTATAGAAAAGCATGTTTTTCTGGACTCTTTGGCAGTCAGTTTTATTTAATACCTTTTGTTGGTTTGGTTGAAAATAAATGATGGATTTCGTGTAACATCTCCAGCTGAGCTGTTAGTCTTTTTTTAGCCGATGTGCAGGTACTGTGTGGTTGTGTAAAACAGACAGAGTATGCAAAGTTCAGTTGACCAATAATATTAGGCCAACAGTGAAAACACCCTCTCCGATGCATATATAAAAGGAGGCAGCCAGTCACTTGTCTCCTTCAGAGTCTCTATCCCATCGAACACTTCAAATAAACTCAACCGACAAACAACCCTTCATCCTGCTCCTGTGACGGAGAGACATCATCATGCTGTTGTTCCTCTTCGGTCTGGCTCTGGGTGCTGTGTCTCCTTCAGATGACCCTCAAGGGAAGCTTCAGCGTGGCAGCTGTCCCATGTTCTGGTTCTCCTTCAACAACCGCTGCTACAAGTACATCGCCAAAGATTTGACCTGGGCTGCAGCAGAGCTCCAATGTGTGTCAGAGGGAGCCAACCTGGTGTCTATCCACAGTCAGGGGGAACAAAAGTTTGTCACATCACTGATCAAGAACTTTGACCCTGTTGAGGGATACACATGGATCGGACTCAGTGACGTCCACCAAGAAGGAAGCTGGATGTGGTCTGATGGGTCTGCAGCCAAGTTATTTTTTTGGCATACAGGAGAGCCAAACAACGCTAGAGGAGTTCAACACTGTCGCCACCAACTATAATCAGAAATGGGACGATTGGATATGTTCTATTACTCATCCCTCAGTTTGTGCATCTCACATAACTTGTCCTTAGCAACCGAGATGTTACATAATGTCTGATTGAACCATGGTCACTGTGAAACTGTTGCTCTGTTAACATACTTTTGACCACAAGATACAAATGTACACTTATGTGTGTAAAGAAGTCATTTTACCAACCTTCATTTCCATGAATGTTATATATTTACACAGGTAATTCGATTGAGTAGGATTTCAAACTTAATCATATTAAAACATAAAAGTGTGTGTGTTTCTATGTGTACATAAATATGTGCATTTTTCTTTGTAACTACATTTTGTATTTGCAATTATAGAATCAGTCACATACTTGTTCTTTAGATTTTTCACCTGCTTGTTTGGGTTCATTCAAACTATTGCGACATGTTCCAATGTATCTTTCCGTCCGTGTATCAGATAAGTATTGGAACAACACAGGTGTAACAGCTGCTGCATTCTCAAGGACTCTACATATCTTATGTGAAGGTCTTTTAATGTACAGGAACAGCAGCATTTACCAATCACCTATGAAAAAGAAATCCCTCTGTTAAGAGAAGAAGAATAAAGTTTGAATTGAGTGTATGAAACAGAGGCAGCAGGCAGGACTGGAGCAATAAACACATCATACACTTTTTAAATATTGCCTCACTAAGGATGTGTGGAGATGCCAAAGAAGAATAAATGCATGTCCCAAAAGTCCAAGAGGATCTAAAAGTGAAGACCAACTTTTAAGAAATATTTAGTGTAATGAGCAGCTTAGTCTCTTTTGCATTAAAGAGTATCTTTCAAAAACAGACCATCATCTCACCCCACCAACATCTCCTGGGGATAGCTAGAGAACATTACATCTTTTCTGGCACTCTTTAGCAGTGCACATGTTTTAATATCTTCATTTAGTCTTAGTAAGTTTAGTACGACATCTCCAGGTGAGCAGGCAGTCTTTTTTTGCTTATGTTAAGGTGTGTTTTTTTTAACATGAGGCAACATTTCTCTTTCTTCTGAGAAACATTTATTTTTAAAGATGCTTTTTGTTCAACACAGCAATTGTTAGTCGGCAAGATCTACTAAATCAGAGCTGTGGTCTGTTCCTATTCAGTGTCATAGAAAGGCCTTGTGGCAGTTATTTTACCATTACCCTGTACATTATGCCAACACATAAAAACACCTCTCTGCTCACTGTTATTAGAGCATTCGTATTGTACTATATTCCTAATTGTATTGTATATAGTTTATTTGTGTTGAGGCGACAGGTTCATGTGCCATGTTTAGAGGTTTAGTAAAGTGCAAGTGCATTTTCAGAAGGAAACTCTTGTGTGCTTTGGAGTTACATGCTGTAATGTAAAAGTACCTGTTGTGCCTTGTGGCCACTGGAGGGCAGCAGAGGAGCAAGTCAGTGCGACGATCAGTTGTGAATGAAAAGAAGATTAGACACAAAGCAATAAGTCTCCCCTGAAATGAATACATTATGTTTTATGTGATATATATCTACACAAGCTTATGGTCTTGGCCTAATGTTCATCTTCATTTTGCCCAAGCTAGGAATTATTTGTGGTAATGTGGTGGCTCAATTAAATGTTTACAAAGCTTTGGTGTGATGGGCAGCTTGGTCTTCATTTGCTATAAAGCGTATATTTTAAAAACAGACCATCATCCCTCCAGACACACATCTTTTGGAGATCGTAAGAGAACATTTGTTTTGGTCTGGCAATGTTAAGCACTGCCAACATTTGATTTTATATAATTTACTCCTCGTAAATAAATGTATAGAAGGTTTAGTGTGACATCTCCAGGTGAGCAGGTAGTCTGTTTTTGCTTATGTTAAGGTGTGGTTGTGTTTAGTGTTGATAAGTTCAGTTGACCAATAATATTAGGCCAACAGTGAAAACACCCTCTCTGATGCATTTGTGGTAACTGTGGCTGGGGTCACCTTGGCTTTAAATAGCTGACAACACAAACTCCTGTTAAGGGGATGGAGGAACCTGTGGACCCTCAATCTAAATCTAAAGTTGTTTTGCAGATTGTGGGGCTTCCCTTCACAAGGACAATAACAGAGGCATGAATTACCAAATAGAATGCAGCTTTATTTCACAAATATAGATGTTAAAATGTCAATGTTCAGCAGCTGCCAACGGATAAAAGGGTAAACATCATTTACATTACTACATTGTGGGTTTCCACTCCTCAGGTGGGCCGGTCTGGTCCACTCGGTCACAATGCCAGCTATCTGTGAGGGATAAAAAAGCACAACTTCTACACAATGATTACAGTGAGAGTTAGTTTACTCACCCTTTTAAAGTGTCACACCGTGCAGTCCCTACACTGAAAGCAGACAAGGTTCCCCCACAGAGGGAGAGGAGCCTGTAACACAAACACTTAGTCAATTATATTGCCCACAAACTGCACACAAGAAAACAATTGACAGAAAATTAAACAAAAAAAGCACTAGAGAACAGTAGTCTTTAAACAAATATATAAACACAACATAATAGTTGCCAGCTAAAACACCAATTCAATATAACATTAAAAGGTTACAAATCAGGCTTTCTTTGACACAATAGATCCTCCTGGCTCAATCTAGGAGGGGAAACGGTCATACTCAGCTCTATGGATTAAACACAAAAACAGACGTTATAAATAATAATAAAAGCTATAATAAATAAAGTTAAAAAACGTCCATTGCCAGATTCCCGGGTTGTTTGGCTGGTTATAACTTATGAGCACTTATACACTCTGCAAAACACGTACAAGTTGCTTAAAAACGATTACAACTTTTAATAAAATACCATATTAAAAACACATTGCTTGTAACAGACCAGGTATCGTGCTTTGAATGTGTTTCCCTCCATGATGGGAAAACGTCTCTTGCCCTCGCCCTAATAAAATCCAAACTGAACTGACACTTTCATAGGTTAATTTAAAAGACCATAAAACCATCTTAAAACCGCGAGTCCTACCTTGAGGGAGATAACGGTGAGCGCGCAGCCAAGAGAAAGGTTTTCTGAAACTGCCGGGGAAAACTTTTAGAACTTACATTTTACCGGGCACCGGTCATGTGATCACGTCACGTGACAATGACGTCACATTCCCACACATATAAAGAAGCAGCCTGTCACTTGAACCTTCACAATCTCCATCCCCCTATCCAACGGTTCAGTGCAACTTTAACAGACAGAGACGGTGGCATCATCATGTTGGTTTTCCTCTTCCTGTTGGGCCTGGCTCTGGGTGCTGTGTCTTCTTCAGATGAACCTCCAATTGAGCTACAGCAAGACACCTGTCCCTCCTTCTGGTTCTCCTTCAACGGCCGCTGCTACAAGTACTTCAACACAGAGACGACCTGGGCTGATGCAGAGCTCTACTGTGTTTCCCAGGGAGGCAACCTGGTGTCTATCCACAGTACAGAGGAAGAGGATTTTGTCAAACTCCTGATCACTAAATCTGACCATGCTGAGGGATATACCTGGATCGGACTCAGTGACATCTACGAAGAAGGAAGATGGATGTGGTCTGATGGGTGTGCAGCCAAGTATTTATTTTGGTATAAAGGAGAACCAAACAACAGCGGACTAGGTGAAGACTGTGTACTCAACAACTGGAGGGGGAAGTGGAATGATGCACCTTGTTCAACATTTTTTCCCTCAGTTTGTGCATCTCGCACAACTTGTCCTTAGCAGCTGAGCTGTTACGTGTTCACCTGTTTTGTTAACATGATAACAATAAAGACACAGATGTACACTTGGATCTGTGTGTGGACAGAAGTCCTTTTGTCTAACCTTTATTTTCATGAATGTTACATATTCTCACTGGTCGCTCCAGGGGCTAATCAAAGCAATTATTTCTACACCTTTTTTAAATATCAATACATTTAGTAAATATTGATCCACAGATTGTTGTCGTTGCTCATCGTCACCTTCTTAAACTAATGGCCTAAGTCGTATTTGAAATGTTTTCAAAAAATGACTTTACGTACAAATAACACTGTCGTGTAAAATAAGAGTATTAGATTACTTGAACATGTTGTGACTTAGGCAATTTGAAACCTGACTTAAGCCTTATTACTTCTGGAGTAAGTGACTTAGGCCAAACAGTGCACTTCTCTTTCCCGCACTACTGTGACACACCATGGGGCTGGGTCAGCCACAAAGCGTTTAAAATGCTATATTGAGGAGCATACAGAGACTCGGGAAACAGAGGGCAGTTTGGCTGTGGTTGGCCCTTTAATTCAATATAGCAAACTCAAAAGGTACAACTTAAATCACTCATAGCTAAATAAAACAAAAGGCAAGTAAATCAAACGCTGAGGAGGTATGTGCCTCTCCTCACTACTCCCTCCAGCTCTTCTTTGCTGTGTTTCTAATTGTAGCTAACCCTTTTCCATTTAAATCAGTTTTGTGTGTGTGATGTGGCAAATTGTCAAACTGATGCCACTCGACGGGCATGCCATGTTTCATGGACTGAAGGTCCTGAAACTTCCTCTCCTTGATTGGCAGAGCATCAACTTCAGCAATTGCAGCTACCTGTTGATATTCCCGATGTAGTTGGGAGATGGTTGTGCCTGGGTGAAGGAACTTCTTGTCTTTGTAGGTTGCTGTGCTTCTGCAGTAGTGTGAATCAACAGTGGGCAGATCCTTCAACCAGTCCTTAAGGAAATCTGTGACAGCAGTTTCCAGCTTTGCATTTTTGCCACTCTTAGGTGGAGATGTAGTTGGCGGGTCTGCCACTTGTTCGTCATGGTCGATGATGTCTTTGTTCAGCCTACATTAGCTACTAACTACACAACATGTATAGCCTAGCCTATAGTCAACACAGTCTCACGGCATTTCGTGTTATAGTCACAAAATTAATCTATTGATTCGTGTTCACCAACACGATTTCGCCATTTTTTTCTTGTCACACAGAACGATTTAAAAAGCAATGTAAATAATAACAAATTTAGAAAGAAAAAAATATTTAAAAAAATACAGATTTCAGTATTCTGAGGCTCTGAGGCCCATTTATTTTCCTCGCGGATGGCAAAAAAACTCAGAGAATTATACAATTTAAAATAAAAGGGATAGGGTTAGGCTTAGGGTAAGATATTGAGTAAGAAAAGGTTTTTATGAACCACACAGCTTCTGGTATTCCAAGACCCGACCGGACAAAAAGACGTGGTGCAGGCACGAAAAACATACTACCAATAGAAATACATTGCTTTTAAGATCTGCAGATAAATGTCTTCTCAAGCACCAACTATCAAATATCTCGCCTGATTGTTGGCATTTGACAATCACCTTCCCTGAATTTTACTCAGGTTTACTAAAGTCTGATTTAAGGGTTGTTTATATTTCACATCATTAATCATAATCTGCAAAGTACCTAAAATAAATGTAATGGAGTAAAAATACCAGGTCAACCTCTGAATTGTAGTAGAATTAAAAAGTAACAATGAGCTGTCATGTGGATATATATTAATGCTGCCCACTATGGACACAAGCGATTTTCACGCATTTATTAATTATATGTTTTAAATTTGTACACACCAATTTGTTTCCTATCGCCTAAACCTCCAGGGGTGTACACAGTTTAATAACGTCTTTTAAAACTACAATTCCCAGAAGAGACGTGCCATAGAACCATAGACTGTATATCTAAATAGAACATGTTGCGAAACACAATAGCCAGCATGTGTAGATCTGGGGGGGGGGTCTGGTCCCGTTCGAATCCAGTTTTGGATAGTCTGCCGTGGTTTCGTTCGATTTCAAAGAGCTGTTTGACGCTCAACGTAACCTTGGCGCACTGCCACTCCAACATCCAATCCCAGAGCTTGAAGATTAATCACGGGGACTGTCCCAAACGATAGCTGGGGATTATGGGTAGTGTAGTGTCTTCGGCCATCCTAAACTCCTAAATGTTTTTCGGATTTTATATCGCATTAACACCATATCCCAACGTGCATTGCGGCTAAAACATCCAATCATCGAGCTTAAACCATAGCTGAGGATCTTGGGTAATCAGTTCAGTGGCTGTGTATCGCAATGATGCTCGGACACCGCATCACCAAAGGCGGTGCAGCACCCCTGCTGGCGAAGGTTGAGGCTGTTGCGGCGTTTCCTCGCCCGCTCACAGCCCGGTCGCTCCGTGAGTTCCTGGGGATGGTGACTTTCTACCACCGTTTCATCGCCCGGTCCGCCCACATTATGCGGCCGCTGTATGAGGCTTTGAAGGGTAAGACCCCCATCCAGGCGATCGACTGGACGGCGGAAGATGAGGTTGCTTTTACGGAGGTCAAGACCGCGTTAGCTCACCCATCATCCACGGCTCCCATCTCCATTACCACAGATGCATCGGACTACGCCGTTGGTGCGGTGCACGAGCAGTGGGTGGAGGGCGGTTGGCAGCCGCTCGCCTTTTTCAGCCGTCAGCTGACGCCCAGGGAACGCAGGTACAGCGCCTTTGACCGAGAGCTCCTTGGACTCTGGCTGGCCGTGCGGAACTTCCGTTTTTTGCTGGAAGGCCGTGAATTTACGGCGTTTGTCGACCACAAGCCGCTCACGTTCGCCATGTCCAAAGTGGCGGAGCCTTGGTCTGCACGTCAGCAGCGGCAGCTGTCTTACATCTCGGAGTTCACCACAGACATTAAGCACGTGGCTGTCAAATCGAACTTGGTCGCAGATTGCCTCTCCAGGGTCGTCATCGGAGCCGTCCAGTTGGGCCTGGACTATACCCGCATGGCGACGGACCAGGTCACGGACCCCGGCGTACAGGCCCTGAAGGAGGACAGCTTGGGGCTGCGCTTGGAGGACGAGGTTTTCGGTGACGCAGGCGTTACTCTCCTGTGCGACGTCTCCACAGGCCTGCCGCGGCCAGTCGTTCCCGCCATTTGGACGCACTCCGTTTTTGAGGCGGTGCACGGCCTGTCTCACCCCGGTGTTATGCCTTCAGTGCGCTTGGTGGCCGCGAAGTTCGTCTAGTGGGGGCTAAAAAAGGATTTGAGGACTTGGGCTGGTGAGTGCATGGCTTGTCAGCGCGCTAAGGTGTACCGCCGCGCGAAAGCCCCTTTGGAACGTTTCCTGGTGCCGGAGAGGTGGTTTGACCACGTCAACATCGACCTAGTGGGTCCATTGCCCTCCTCTCAGGGTTTTTCCTACCTCCTCACCATGGTGGACAGGACGACCCGTAGGCCAGAGGCGGTTCCTCTCATGTCGACGCCGGCGGCTGACATAGCCCGGGCTTTCATAGCAACATGGGTATGTCGGTTGGTTTGGCACCCCGTCGGACATTTCCTCAGACCGGGGTTCGCAGTTCACGTCAGAGCTCTGGAACGCTGTGGCGTGCGGTTTGGGGGTTAAGCTTCACAGGACAACCGCTTATCACCCTCAAGCTAACGGCCTCTGTGAACGTTTCCATCGCTCCATGAAGGCAGCACTCAGAGCCGGCCTGAAGGACGGCAATTGGTTCGACAAGCTGCCTTGGGTAATGCTGGGACTACGGACCGCGCCTAAGGAAGATCTGCAGTGTTCCACGGCTGAGATGGTCTACGGTCAGCCGCTGAGGGTTCCAGGGGATTTCCTCCCTAACGCGTCGGCTCCCTGGTCGGCGTCGGCGCAGCGGGTTTGCCTGCAGGATGCCGCTGAGACTTTTGCTCCGATTCCCACTGCTCTACATGGTACTGAGGTGTCCCGGGTTCCCGCGGATCTCCGCTCGGCTAAGCACGTCTTCATCCGGCACGATGCACACAGGGGTCCCCTACAGCCTCCTTACGATGAACCATTCCGGGTTTTGGAGCACGGGGGCAAACACTTTGTTGTCGACCTGGGTGGTAAGGCCTAGCATGTCTCGGTGGACCGGTTGAAGGCGGCCCACCTGGATTTGGACCAGCCGGTGGTGCTGGCGCGACCTCCGCGACGGGGGCGCCCCCCGGCCTTGATCCCGTTCACTGAATTGAGACCCGTTGTTCCGGTCTCGCCTCTTCCGGAAGCCGCCCATGCAGAGGTCGTTTTTCCGGCTCCCGTGCTCAGTAGTCGTGGGGGTCGACCTGTCGTTCCTCCCCGCCACGCTGACTTTGTTTATGGGTGAATTCTGGGGGGGCTTGTGTGGTGACACGTTATAGGACATAATTCACCATTGGTATTATTGTGTTGCAACTCGGACCCGTTAGTGAGGGTCTTCTTCTTATCGTGTCCACAAGGCAGTCACAGTTACAGGGCTTGATTAGATGTGGTTCAGCCACAGCTGAACACATTGCTGTCCCTTCTCATTAAACTCTGCCAAGTCCGATGTTGTGCAGGGTTGCTCCAGCAGGGGGCATATCAGGAGATGTTGCATGGTTTGTGGTTCAATGCCGCAGTCACACAACGTCCCCGTCATTTAGGTATTTTGTGAGGGTACCGGGGTTGTTGTCATTCATGCTAGCTTGACATGCAGTAATAGTAAGTGTACTCACCTTGTCTTGATTAATGGATAATAAAGTGTGGGGTTCCATACTGAACACACCGCCTCTGACTCCCATTCATCGGCTCTACACTATTCGAATTTGTTTTAACTTGAATTGTTACAGTTTTATTTCACATGAGTAAATTTGGAGTAAAACAATTCAGATACATGATTTTCAAAGTAATTTGTGTTTGCTTCCATACACCATCCTGTGTATTGTTGACTAATGCAAACGGGCCACACCCTGGACAACAGTATTAAAAGTTTAAACTCCCCAAATAACCCAAAACTAGAGTATCAGCTTCAGTTCAAAGATCATGGAAAGGAAGGGGGGA